TGCGAACTCATCCCAACCGCCGCTGAGGGTTCGTACCGTAGATGGTCCGCTGAATGCGAATCCGGCCAGTCCATTATTAATAATAAGGACAGCCTGGATTCAGTGACATACGCCCGTATCCAATACTCGTTGAACGTTCGGAGGTGACGCCGTCGAGTCCCTTGCACCTTGGCGTCTCCGTACATCACCTGACCAAGGGTTCGTCGCTTGAACAACTTGGGCGGTGTCACGTCTTTGTCGACGGGTGATAATCCGCAACTACGGAGAAATCACTACACCACAACTGCCCCTGTCGCAATGGAAGCCACGGTACTGGTGCCCGTTGTGACATTTCCTCATTCTTCAATTCACCATCTCGCCACCGTATGTCCAAGCGTCTGAATCGAGCCGTGTCCGACGCTTTTCAGCGTCTCAATCCTCGTAGACGTCGCGAACGTGAGCAGCTGAAGGTACGTAAGCCCATCCTTCTCCTGAATCATCGGTACCTTGCTCATCACCTCGCATTACTCGACTTGTTTCTTAGGAGGGCAAGACTGAGGGTTCGAACGCCCCTCAGTCTGCTGCACTTCCTCCGACAGCAGCGTCATCAACCGATCCTCCGGCGCCCGCTGCCCCGGACTCTTCACTCCCTGTGGTAGCTTCTGCAGCACTCCCCGTCGTCGCTGAACCCGCGGAGATGGCTCCTGCTGTTCCTCCTGCCCCAGCTGGTGGTCCGCCACCACTCACCGAAGATTCGCTGCGCGCCATGCTGGCTGAAAGTACGGAGGCATCGGTCGATCACATGATGACCTCGATAATCCCGTACTTGACTGCAATGGCTCGTCACCAAGTGAAGCTCAGCGTTGCGCCTCCTCTCCACGGCGATATACACACTCAGCGTCGCCTCGAGACTGCCGTTGGTTTCGATGATGTCCTCGCTGCGATACAACCTGTTCCTGACGCGTTGTCGGCATTACCAGAACGAGTTACCGACTTGGAGCGTCAGTTGCGGTTTGCTCAGTCCGAGGCTGCTACCGCCGTACGTTCGGTGGCACCCCACATCATGGCTCGTGAGAACGCGGAAACATTCCTCAAGGCTGCCAACGCTGAGATTGAAGCCTTACACCACGACGTCAAGATTCTCCGCGAGTCGAACGCCAAGAACGACGCCATGCTCGCAAGTGTTCAAGCCACTATGGAGCGACACGCAGAGGATTTGAATCGTCTTCACTGCGAGGTCCAAGCTCGGGACGTTTTCATCAGCACTTTGCAAAAGAAGCTGGCTCGCGAACGCGAGGTGTACAAGTCTTCTATTGGAGCGAATACCGAGCAGACTCGGAAGCTTCACCTCCTTCTGGTAAAGCTTGCCCAAGGCAAGTACGTTGATAACGACACGCTCAAGGTCCTCGAGAACCAGCAAGACCGTAACACTCGCCTCCTCCAAGCGAATCGTACCCTCCGTGCACACGTGAGTCTGGCAGGGATGGATCCCGAGGTACTTCGTCTGGCTGTTGAAGGTACGCTCTTAATGTCGCTCCTTCCATCGTGTGTTCAGCAACTAACGTTCGTTCACAATCCTTCGTGATAGATCTGACTGCGGGTGAGCTGGACCTGGACGCGCTGGACTTGGATCAAGAGACGTTAGTCGCTTTGCGTCGCATTCAGTCTGCCACCGCGTCTTCGGACGATCCTCAAGCCCTTCCTGCAGCTTTGGCCAAAGCCGCTCACCAAGTGGCCCATGGGAAGTCCCATAAGTGTCTTAGACCAGGTGGCGAGGATTCAGACGACGAGTCGGAGGACTCTGACGAGGACAAGGCTCCAATCCCAACGGACAAGGCCAGTACTTCGATGGCAGCTGCCGGTCTCGGTGATGCGCCACCTATCGATACTTCAACGCCCAAGTCTACTCGTAGATCGCTGTTCGGCCCGAAGGCGTGGAAGAAGGCGGCCCAGAAGAAACGCAAGAAATCTCGCCCTCATTCTCCTGCTAAGTCGCCCCGACGTCATATGAAGACTCGGTCCCAGTCTGTACCGTCTTCTCCAAGCTCATGGACGCCACCTCCTACATCAACGTCTTCTTCTACTCCCGCCGTAGTCGACCTCAGCGGCGACCAGAGTGACGTGGACATGGGGACTGCTGATCCAAGTAGCGTCCCTTAGATAGACAGAAGCAAAATTAAGGAGTAGACACTCCTTACCTTGCAAAATGCAGCTTCCAGAGCATTTCCATGAGTTGAATACCCCATGGACCGAGGACAAAGTGACAGCAGGAGGAGTGTTATCGTCGCTCCATGGCTCACGGACGAAGCCGGGCTGCTCTTCTTCGTTTGGCTGGGAAGTGGGCTCTGGCATCTTCTGTGACGGTGGCCGGTGGAGAGAGCGTGGAGTACAGCAGCGCGTCTCGCTGTCTGAGCGTGCTTCGATCCTTCGAGCGGCTGACCACCCTGGACATTTTCTTGGCTGCTATTCCCCCCTTCGGGAGGGGGGGGTTGCGAATGGAAAGAACAGAGTTAGAAGATTTTTAAGGGTTTTCAAATTTTCAGAAATTGGCGGGCCGGGGGAGATACGCAATATCTCTGTGTGACTTTGCGGCCAGTTGGTCCACGTACTGTAGGCACTTCCAATTTCTAATGACTGTCCTTTGATTCTACGGTGCTTTGCCGTCGGCAAAATACTGAATCACTTCTGCTTGAAGTTCAATCAAACTGCAGGTCCAGAGGGCCGGGTCTGTAACTGCACACTTCCAGACTGGAAGTTCCAGTCGACCATTTACGAATTGCTGTCGTACTTGGTCCGACAATGCCACGGCTAGTGAAGCTGCGAGGCCTGGAACGTATGGTGACAATGGTAGACGGCGTTTCCATGAAGATCGTGCACTCGATGCTTCTAGTAGGCGACGTCCAAACGCTACTCCGATTCCTGCCGGTCGCTCTCATGCAAACTTTCAACATGCACCCGCGAATGCGAGCTGTTCAGGTACGCAATGAGGACTTCATGGCGGAGATCCAAGATTCGGCGTCCCTTGACGGTGTCTCGACATGTAGTACCGTATTCCTTATGTGATTGGCGACGCTCGGTCATTAGCGACAAATCCAGCAGCCAATCAAATTGATTTAAATTTCGTGTCGTCGCGCTTTATGTGCTTGGCGACCAATATATTTTTGAGCATGTCATATAGTTTTTTCTATGCAGGTATCTTTTATGCTGGCAGAAAGGCTGGACCACCTCAAGAATTTGACTGTCGCCAATCACATAAGGAATACGGTAAAGATCTCCTACGCATTCGACGATTCACTCCGCTCGATTCTACATGTCCCAAAGATACTTTTGACAACTGGCAGCACTACGCGGAACAAGAATGCAACATCGGTTTCGATCGCTACACGCAGTTTCCGTTTTTCCTGGTGGTGTGGGTGGACAGTGCAAGCGAACAAGCTCGACTCATGCTCTTCTCCGATCACTACATGTCGGACGGTCGCTCGGGAATGGCTGTGCTCAACTGCGTCCTTGAGCAAGTATCTGCTCTCACCGAACTCGGCGACCAAACAGAAGACAGACTGCCAGTGCAAGAAATCCCTTTACGCCCTTCGCTCTACGAAATGTGGTTCTCGAAGCATTTTTTCTTCAAAGAAATACTAAAAGGTGTCATGAGTCTGTTTGGAGAGGTGATCTATCGCAGTGAAATGAAGAAGTTCAAGTCTCTTCTACCTGCACGAGACGATCAACACGATTTCGAAGTCCCTCCTGTCAAGAATCCAACTTCAGCATTCTTCAAGGAAGGGGATCCTGACTGCATGCGCAAGACCCTTCAGAGCAGGGTTTCCTAGAATAGTATTGCAATTATATGGTAAACAACTGATGAAATATATAATGGTGAGCATGGTAGAGCCGACATGAAATACATTATTGCACCCTTGACAAAGATGAAATACATTATGCATACCTCAAATTCAATTCTGCTTACCAACCATCTGCACCATTGCCACGTTCCAATATCGGCGATTTGTCTTGAGAAATAGGATGGTTTTCCAGTTGGGGCCCGGCGCCATGGCTTGCCGCTGAGGAGACAACACGATTTCCAGCTTGGCTAAAAAAAACGTTCGGCAATATTAGACGTCGGTGGAATGTATTGCACCAACTCGTATCTGTTCATATACAAAAGGAATTGGTCAAATTGACATGACAACGACATTTAAAAAGCTCCTACCTCGTGTAGCCACGTTTGGCGTCCTGTTTCCGCTGTACGCCGCAGCGACATCGATAGAAACCCATACAGTCGTCATTCTCGTCACGGATTGGCTTGAAAAATACATCGCAGATCTGCTTTCTGGTGTAGCGAGAAACTGGTGATCGCGTTGGGGAGAGAAGATTATCCATGCCAGCACGGAATTTACAAATGAGCCTGGCCTCAGCTCAGAGCAGCAGCATGAACGGTTGGTTGTCGAGTAGCTCCAGCGGCCGCTTTCTTATTGGTTACTAAGTAATACAATAGGGTTATGATAAGTAAATTTTTGATTTCAAAATGACAAAATATGTTACTCTGGACTAAATCTACCGAAATAAGTTATTGACGGGGGAGTCGTCCCCCTCGAAATACATAATGGTATGGCATAATATGCCAATTATTGCTTATTACAATATATTTTTAGGAAACCCTGCTTCAGAGATGCAAGGAAGAGGGCGTCACTTTTGGTGGAGCATTGGTGGCTGCTATCACTCTCGCGTTCTACTATGCAGTAGAGAAACAACCAGGCTCTGAACCAGGAAAACCGTTCAAAATCGCGGCAGACATCGACTACAACATGCGCCAGCGCGTGTCTTACCCCGTTGAAGATGACGCGGTCGGGGCTTACATAACGTTCGCAGATCTAGGGTGGCTGGCCAACGAAGGTATCGACTTTGAAGCTATGCGGTTCTGGGATCTTGCGCGCAAAGCCAAAAGTGAGATTGACGCAAATCTCCTAAACAGCAGAACCATGGCCGCGATGACTATTATCATGGACCAAAAGCTCAATGCTCAGATGAAGCCGTCTCTGGCAAAATCTGTCAGCATCCGCCACTCACAGACCTCAGACGCCAACATCTCAAATGTCGGACGGTATCCTTTTGCGAAGGAACATCGACTGACCTCTAGGGATGGCAACCAGAGCGCTCTTGCAGTGAAAAGCCTTCACGTGTACAACCCGATTCCTCACTTGGGTCCTTCTGCAGTCTTCTTTGTCTCGTCGGTGGACTCGTTTTGCTATTCAATGGGGTACAAGTGTGAGAATGCGGCGGCACAATCGCTTTTCAGTGCGTGGGTCGACATCTGCGAGAACGTCGGTAGCATTGGATCTGACGACACGTTGGCGAACGTGTTGTTAAGACTGCATCGAATTTTGTAAGGCAGTCTTGGGTGAGAGACCGTGATATTATTCCTTTCATGAACACGAGTCAGCTCTGGAATTAAACAAAATCTTTTCACCTGTAAAGCTTCAGGGTCCCAACCACCGTAGCTACCACGGGACTTCCTGTTCCGACGCATCTCGTGCGTGTTCGTTTGAGCATTTGGCTGCTTTCAACACATGTTCACCATGCAAAGGTACCATAGATTTTTGCCTTTACAGCTACAAGCTACTTTACTCCAACAGCGGCACCACTTTGGCGAGTACATCAGCCATAGTGGAATGTCGATCTACATCACCGATACACTCGCCGAAAGCCACATAAGCTTGGAACAGCCGCTTGGCATCGTCGTCCTCGTATTTGTGCAGCATCGAGTAGTTGAAACTCTTGACCGTCGACACGTACATGAGAGTCCCCATCGAGAAGAACGGCACAGACTCATACAGAAACAGATTCTCAACAGAAAGCTCGCCAGCATTGCCGAGCTCGTGAACTGTCGGATACGGATATCGACCGATGTTGGAGATGTTGACGTCTCCACTGCACGAGTTCTTGATGACGTGTTTTAAAAAGGCTGTGGACACGGATGCAGAGTTAAAGTTTTGGTCCATAAAGATGTCCGTGAAGGCCACAGCCGGGGATTTCAGTCCATTCTTGATGTCTTGTCTGCAGGAGCGAGCAACATCCCAGAATTTGGCGGAGTTCCGGGGCTTTTCACACTATCCAATGGCACCAGCGACGCATAGCTGCCTACAACATCTTCTGGTACAGGCGTGGAAAGGCGGGTTCGCAGATTCGTGCTCATGGTTAGCGTGACTTTGAAGCGCTCAGTAAGCGCCACTGAGTGATGAGTCTGGGAAGCGTAGTAGTAAGCCAAGATGACGGCGGCACTAAGAGCGCCCGAGTACGTGACTCCTTCCTGCTTGCAGCGGGTAAGCACTTTCTTCACAGTCTCTGGGGCTCCTGACTCGAACAGCGCGTAACTTGGGTTGTTCTTGAAGGGGTACACCAGATCTGCCTGGTCCGAACGAGCAGGTAGCAGTGGCTTCGTGTGAGATATAAGAATGCTCTTGATCACTGGGGCCAGCAGTCGTACAGTCATCTTGGTGAGTGGCGTAGTGAACGTGTAGTTGCCCAGCCAGAGATTGTAGGGCGATGCTCGAACAGGATGTTGCCTCGGCTCAATGTTCGTCTGGGCAGCGAGCAATTCAGCGAGCTCCAAAATATCCATTGAAGAAAGTCAAACCATGAAGTGCCGTCGCACATATATTATAGTGATTCAGAAAAACAGGAAGAGTCTGCCCATGCCGTTCGATTCATGAGTCCAGACCTCAAGGAACGACGCGAACTCCGTGTAGCGATTCACAGACTTCTCGCACTCTTCCTGTACGTGGCGTTTCCACACTTCTGCTTGCTCTTCCACTTCACCCGTCGATCGAACACGCACCAACCGACGAGAAACAACGTCGCCGGCAGTGATCGGAGGCTGAATCTCCGCCTCGTGGAAAGCACCTCTCACCTGCAGCGCCCGCATCCTCGGATGGAGATTGAACGTGTGCATCAACGCAGTCGGGAGGTGCTGCACTAAGATACCTACTGGTCCTTTGACAGCCATCACATGCGCAACTTTCGTCGATGATTCATCCACCGCAGTGTACACCCGTTCGAAGCCACGGAGCTGAACTCGCACCTTGCCATTCTCCGTTCTTACAGGTGGCGCCACCTTTCAGCTGATGAGGAATGCACGAGAGATGTGGAGATGTTCCTGATGCTTGAACTCTAAAAAACAAGAGACGGGCCCGCCACTTGATGTCTACGGTACTGCTGCTGGTTGGTCTCCGATCGATGAGCGCATATCCGAATGGCTCGAAGGCGCTAAGTGTGTTGCTTGGCTTCCAGCGGGAGATCCGTGCCTTCGTGGTGTCGTCGGACCAGTGTAGCCTGTCAAGGGCGTCATGGTGGCTGTATCACTCGCCTAGAAGTCCTGGACACGCGGGTTTGTGGCCCACGGGCCAGGCATTCAATGCTCTAGCGCAGCGTCTTCATGCTCGGATGGCAAGAAGGGGACGTTACATCCACGAGAAGAGAACGAAGCTGAGACTAAGTGTGACTCAAGCGCGCGTGCTGCTCCGCGACTTATTGCTAGTGGCGTCTGGACTGCGCCCGTCGTGTCTGGTGGACTGCTGTGCGTTGACGAAGGCGCTGGTGAGGCTTCTGCTGAGGTGTCTAGCTGATGAACACGAGCTGTATCGTCAATGGCTCGAAGGTGGGCAGGTCCGTGCGGTGCTGTTGGACGGCAACATCTTCTTTGTGAACGTAGACGCTTTTGTTCGTGAGAAGATGGCGACGGGTTTGCACTTTCAATTGTACGTGGACGTCAGCGCCAGCCTCGATCGGCCTAAACGCCTCCGTAGTACTTCAACGGCCGATGCTTCACGAATGCACGCACTCGCTGTGTGGACTATCCAAGCCTGCCAGGAATTGTTGTCATCAGACTCTCAAGTGTTGGAGCTGAAGCGACCGTCGACACTTAATGCGACCGCATTAGCAGGCTTACTACTTTGCTACCCTTGCGTGTACGACATTTTGGCTGATGGTGATAAAGCTGAAGACGAGTGGAGCGAGCAGGCAAACTGCCTCGCCATGTGCCCGCTCTACTTGTTGCACAGTGCGGCTCTATTGTACGTTCCCGTTCGTTCAATTGGAACAAATGTCTAGCTTCTCTCTTGCTGACACTGTTGTCATCTGGCTCACAGACCACAACAGCAGCTGGAAATCGCGCTGCAAGACTTCACAGTGCCGCAGCATCTGCTTGACGACTGTAGCGACGAGAAGCAGGAGCAAGAAAATGATCGTGGTGTTGCTTCTTCGCCGCTATTGAAGCTGCTCCGAGCACGCTGCCTATTGCAACTGCGGCGATCGATTGATCATAGCTTCTTGGCGTCCAGCATCCAAGCTCAAGTACGTGTCCACACCCTCATGCAGCACCACGTCTCATTGTGACGTTTCCAGCCCGAAAAGTTACATCCGAATTGCTAGCACCACAACTGATCTGTATATTTAAGGAAGTGCGTAAGTATCCTTTAAATCATGGGGTAAGTATTTGTAGACTTGTACAATTCAAGATGTGGCTTTACACATATTTATGTTGATCGCACACAACGCGCGACGTACTTGAGCCCACTAGAGCCCAGTTTGAAACAGTCGTCATGGGAGCGTCGCCTTCCAAACAGCGTCGAATCTATCGTCCGTGTACGTGGCTCTCTGCTCGCTTTCTCCGCGTCTCTAGCTCTGCATCCTTAGGGGAGCACAACACCATTGGAACCTCCCTTTCGTTAGACTTATTCCGCTGACTTTAACCGGGTTACTTGGATGCGCAGTCAACGCCGGCGAGTTCACAGTCGCATGGCTCACATTCAAGGTGCGATACGATGCCGCAAAAAGTTTCAAATGGGTAATCGATTTAGGGTAATGTGGTTGATGTTGCAGGGTGAATCTGTGGAGACGAGGAGCACCCCTATGTGCCCAAGAAGGAGGACTGCTAGCGTTCCAAGCTTCTGCGCGGACTCTTCGGCGGTGAGCAGCTATTGGAGACAGCAAAAGGGTCTGCTGTGCAGCTGATGGTGTGCTGACTGGCATATAGATACGACAATGCAGTGCTTCGAGGAGATGCCTGGGGACACATTACAAGCAGCATTCGTCTGCATCTTGGCATGTTCTACGAGTACGTGGACGCTACAGCTATGTGTTTATTTTTTTTTTTCCGAGGGGGAAATAAGGATTACTGATTTTATTACGTTGTTGTGTTGCGATGCACAGAGGCAATACACGCGCCAGAATCAGCTACATCTTCAGCATGTACAACATCATTTTTTCAGAGAAGAAGTACGTCGCTGTGGCTTCTAAGGGTGGTAAAAGATTGCTGGGTGCTGACTCGGTTGTTTGTTGCTAGTAGCAACAATGAAGAGGGCTTCATCGCAGAGAAGGATTATCTGTACTTGTTGAACTACCTGGAGGAGTATATGCCGTTGCCCAAGCAACTCTACGCTGCGTTTGAGGAATGCATGATTCCGATGGCGGGACTGCTGTCGAACTCGCAGTTTATCACGTGGGTGCGTCAGTACCCAGACGTCATGGAGGTGAGAGAACTTAGTGAAGCAGCTACAGTATCACGCGAGTGGGTTTTATTCTAACAGCTATGATGCAGTTCCTTGCCATTCATCTCCCGTCTTCTCCACTACCAGGGAGTCCCATTAGCTCAATCCGCACAAGCGAAGAGTTTCTGGCAAACTCGTAAGTTTAACTACTGTTTGTAGTTGTCGTATCAACACGTTTCTAACAGAGAGGGTGTGTGGTATTTCAGAGATCCCTTGAACAACAGTCCGTCGTGTCGAAATGATCCGAATCGGAATCCGTTTAGAAGTTCTTTCGACTTTATTGGAGGCGAAGACAGCGGTGACGAAGACTCGGATGGACTCTACGACTCCGATCATCTAACTGAGATGGAGATGTCTCAGAGCTCCTATCGCGATAGCTCCAGTTCGCTGAACGGGAACGATGAACTGACGAGTATTTTGAAGGAGGTTGGAGCCGTACAGGATGAGAATACTGAGCGTACAAGTGACGTGAGTCAAAGTGGCCAACGTGCGGCAGAGTCGGCATCGTTACCGGTATCTGCTCGCCCCCATGACTCAGCTAGACCGTCAAGCCGAGGCCAAGGTCGCGCTGGAGTCTCTCGCTCGCGTGGCGTTCAGAAGATGGGAAGATACATGGGCAAAGCTGTCGGTGGCGGTATCTCTAAAGTCGGTCATGTGGGGAGGAGCATCTTGCACGTTGGCAAGTCCCAAGCCAACAATCAGCACTCTGGAGATCACCATAACGACGATCCTGCAGCAGTCGAGCTGCTTTCCGCTGGTTACTCCTTCTCGTCCGAGTCTCAAAGCACCAAAAAGTATGTTTGTGGCTACTTGCACAAGATCAGTGACAGTAAATGGGGCAAGAAGCGATCGTGGCACCGAAGATGGTTCGTTCTGGATCGCCAGCGTGGTGTGCTCTCGTACTACCGACACAACCCAGCCAATCACATGCCTACGTCATCTCAAGGCAATATCGTGCACATGGCGGACTCCCCCCGTCCCAACAGGAAAAGGTGTCGCTGCTTCCTCCTCCAGTCAGCAACATACGGAGACGAAAAGACAATCATTTTGGGTTCCTTACACAGGACTTGTCAAGCTCCAGGCGAGAATGACAACCTGCGACAAATGCTGGCGGTCTGAAGCGGTTCGAATGGAGGAAGCAGAATCTGGGTGACCGAAGTGCGGGAAGTGTTGGAGAGACCGGAAGAGCCATGAGAAAGTAGAACACACCGGGACGAACAGACGCTGCTGTATCTGAGTGAAGCCCATCCATGGTATCGCGGTGCGTTGGATCTAAACATGGACAACGTGTCGCTGCTGTTCGAGAAGAATCTCGCGAGAAATGCCCCGACTCGCTATTTCTTCCAGGGCTCGACGCTTTCTCTGCACGATATCGATTCGAAGCGTGGTGTGCAGTACAAGGTACGAGAAGAAGAGAAGTGGTTGTGGGTGTTGAGACTACACTAACTCTTTGTTGTGACATGCTCCAGTTGTGTGCAGACACCGAGACAGATTTTGATCTCTGGACGTCTGCGATAGCCGAGGCCATTAACCGGAAAGACTCGCACGACGGGAAAGCGAGTAGTGGCGCCCCGGTCCTCTCACACCAACAGCTCTATCGACAGCGTCTTCTTCAGAAACAAATGGAGGAGCAAGCAGCGCAGCAACGCGAATCGGAGAGAGCAGAGGCGGATAATGAGCATGACTCTCCACCTCCAACGCTCGGACGAGTCTCTCCAGCTCTTCACAATGAAACAAGAGCAGAACTCTCAAAGGTCCGAGTGATTCTTCTCCTGTGTCCCACCCAAAGCAGAAGATCCCTCCTCGAATCGTGACACAGTTCTCCTCTGCAACCGACAGTAGAGTGCCGGACGCTTCATGTTGGCATCTGCACATTCACGTGGATGGAACCAAGCAGTGTCTCATTGTGGGCTTTATGCTGAACATCGTGGCGATACGTTGCCTTGCCAGCGAGCATGTGTTGTGGAAGGTGTTCGTCTGTCTCGCTGTCTCGGGGATGTTCATCGCCAGCATCTACAACCCGAGGCCAGCGCATCGTCCTCGTCACGGGAGCATGGCAGGAAGCTTCTCAGACTTGACTGGTGGCATCGATACTGCTTTACTTGGGACGGACATTGCGCAATGCAGCAATCCAGAGAACTGTTGTCTACACAAGGATTCGAGTCCGACGGGGTCAGAGAGAGACAGCAATGAGAGTAACTGTGCAGAAGGAGCAGGCGAGGGCAGACGACGTTGCAGTGGCGTCGGCAATCGACGCTTTGCCAAGTTCGCTATGGGCAGCACCATGAGTCAATGCAAGATGCAGCCAAACGGACGGTCGAGTAACGTGGAACATTCGTGGACGACCACAAGTGCTGAAATGTTCACAGTTCGCAGCTCCGACTACAAGAAGTCGCGGAAGAAAGAGGTATGCTGATACTACGTAGTACTACTCGAGCGTGTGTGTGGTTCTTCTGACCTGACGGTGCCCATTGTTCTTGTAGCCTTCGAAGGCAGCGCTCTTCGAGTTTATCGGCGCAGATCTCGTTTGCACCGAGAGCAAAGTGGATCTCATCTCCCAGCGCGTCGAGTTTCCGCCCGAACATGAGAACAGTCGACTCTTCATCATCAACGCTCAGGTACAGTGGGTCTTGCGTGTTTGAACCCAGTAAAGCGGCAAATTTTACAGTAACTTGGTTTTGTTGTGACTGTAGCTCCCGTCGTACGGGCCGAGCGTGTGGGGAGATGGCTCCTACGATGGACCAGGCTACAGCTTGGCTCTCTACTGGAAGATCCCAGACGAAATCGTCGAGGTGAGGCGGCGTCAACACTGAAATACACTAACATATCTGCCACTTAACCATTTGGTTTCTGCTTGCTGTTTGCAGGAGTTAAAGAACCCGACGACGACAACTCTAAAGCTCTTTAAGCGGTTCTTGGAGGCTGGTGATGACACGTCGCTAACCGATCGCTTCAAAGTCATCGCGCAAGTGACCAACCAAGACGAGTGTGGCATCACAGGCATGGCCAAGAAGCTACTGGTGAGCCACAACGCAACCCCAGTGCTCACACGGCCTCAGCACCGCATTTACCACTTTAAGAACGGCACAACGGAGATCGTTGTCGATGTTCATGCGTTCTCGTACATCGCGCGTCGCGGCATCCACTCGCTGATCGATAAGACGGCGCGCCTGGTGATCGACGTCGCCTTTGTCATCCAGGGCGAGACGGATGAGGAACTGCCCGAACAGGTGCTCGGCTGCTGTCGCCTCGACCGCGTTAACATACAGAAGGCGGTTGATTTGCCGTAGCAGACTACGTGACGTGTACATTAGCAATCGTTAACGACCATGGAAGAAGACTGCACGATGGTTTTGATGAGGGAAAGGTCAGTATTTCTTGTTATGCATCAAATACTTGGAATATCAGCCCCGAAAGATGGTTGACAGAAAATAAAAATCATCATTCCTTTCCTCACGACATTAGTTAAGCGCACAATTACCATAGCTGGATACGGGAATGCTCGGAGTAAAATTCTCAACAACCAGGGCTACTACCCCCCGGATTCAGAAACTCTAGTCTGAAATTAATAGGTTGGATCATCATTGCATTCCCAGTTTTGAAAATTACACAGGTCGACGGAGGCCTCCTTCGATGGAGCGCAAATATCGGAATGACAAGTTGAGCGGCTCCCGTTTCGTGCAACGCCTGCACCAATCATTTTGAATGGATCGTTTTTAGCCAAATTGAGGTAAACTACACATCTGGAAATTGGAAACCGATACGAAATGAGAAATCATCTCCTGCAGGTTTCGACGATTGAGCGGTAGAAATTCGTAGCTCCAGCAACAAAAATGTTTTCACTTGGCTTTTGTTTAACCCCTTAGTTCCCGTATGTTTAGCCGCTAAACATAAGAGGTGTATAGCTTCTTTCAGTTTTTTTCGGCATCTATGTTATGTTTAGCGGCTAAACATAAGCGAAAAACTGACTTGGAGTTTGTATTGAACAGATCTCAAGAGAGCGCAGGAAAGCTCAATACTGAAGTCAAGACAAAAGTGGGAGCCTAAAACGGCCGGATGCACAGGCTTAGGGTAGCTGGACCGGATTCCTGATTAAACGAGATAAAGAGAGGCGGTGTCACCCACCACCAACGGGTGGCCGACAGTCACAAAACTCTCTCATACTTCAAAACGACCGCGGGGGCAGCAGACCAGAATGGTGGCGACGTCTGGCAAGATGCCACGACGGACGCTGACAGCGGAAGAGACCCGGTTGTGCAAGGCAGCCCTCAGTGACCGCCACAAGCGTCGCCTTCGTCGAGACGACGAGAGGCAGTCAGCAGCAGAGCCAAAAGCATGGCGCTGAGGGGCGTGCGTTGAAAGAAGCAGTCTAGGAAGAGGGCGGTGAAACTTACGACGACAGCCATGGGAGATAGCAGAGTCTAGAGGTCCACATATTTGAGCCCGGCAGCACCCAAAAGAGACAGAAGCAACAGCGAAGTACGGACGGAAGCCTAAAGAGGTAATACCCTGTTGCAGAAAATGAGGAAAGATTCTGTGGAACCAAGAGGTGCAGAAAGTTTGTAGCAAACGTGGTGATGGCTGTGGCTTCAACTGTGGCTTCAAATGCGCTTCTAACGCCTGTGCGAGATGCTCAAGGCGCTGTGGAGACCTTGCGCCCCCCTCGGACGAACAAGCAGGCGCCGGTTACGCAAAGATCTTCGAAACGACGCCGCCGCGTCCTACAAGACAGTCCAGAACGCGAAGCTCAAGCTGAAGGCACCATAAGTGACACCACAGACACCGGTGCTGCGTCAGCTGCCCCGCATCTCCCTGTCGCCTGCGTAGTCGACGGTGATCCTAACATCATGGCGGCTGGTGCACGTGAGTGCACTGGCCCTCGGATCAGAAGAGGAATCTGGTCCTGATTCAGACGATGACGACGCGGACAGTGAGTGGAAGGAGATTGGGAGCTTGGAGAACTCTCTGATGAGGAGTTAGCCGATTGCGTTGGAACTGAACTACCGGACACGTTCTGCAAGTCGGTGGCGATGAATGCGGCGCGTTTGGCGGAGATGAAACATTCTGGCTGGGAGTATGGTAAGTTATGTTGAACGCTATCCAACATACGCAACTATTATTCCGTCGTTGTCTAACATAATGTTAACATTATCTAACTCACTTTGATGTGCTATTTGTAGACCAGTCCAAATTTGGAGACAATCCTACGTATGAAGACCTTTACGACGGGCCTTATGGACCATCTGAGAGCGTCCTTAGAGTGGCTGAAGACCCACTGGCGCTGTTCTTCTACTACCTACCGCCAAACTTGTGGAGACAGATTGCCGTCGAGAGCAATCGCTACCACACGCAGTCGATACCGGGTCGTGCGCAGGCGATTCAAGCGAAGCAGCGTCGTGGTGGTGGAGAAGTAGAGAACCTCGCAGATATTCGTCGGCGACTAGCACGTGTGAAGCCGATAGAATCGTGGGAGGTTTTGCGCGTCATCGCGCTTCTCATTGCAAGGATGCTGTCTCCAGTGCGAAAGGGGATTGCTGCTCACTGGGAGTTGACACCGGCTGGTGCGTTGCCAACGCCACGCTTCGGCAAGTACATGTCCCGCAACCGGTTCTTCCACATAATGGGATACTTGCACTTCTCCAACAACAAGTCGCCTCAAGCTAGCACGGATCGTGTATGGAAGATTCGGCCGGTTATCGAGGTTTTACAGCGTACATTTGCGCGCGGCTACAAGATTCCTCCTGTCATTAGCTTTGACGAAGCTACGCTGCCTTCAAGATCCCGCTACAATCCTACCAGACAGTTCAACAAGGACAAACCGCACAAGTGGGGGACCAAGGTGTTCGTGGCAGCGTGTGCAGATACAGCTTATTGCATGAGGTGCGTTCCAAGGTGGCAAGCTAATGCTTGCCACCTTTTTTTTGGTCTAAGTGCTTATGTTGGACGGGCAAACATCCACATTGTGGAGAATTTCCTAATCCCAACATATTTATTACTTTTACTAATATCGTGTGCGTTTGTGCGACTGTTCAGATTCGAGGTGTACTGTGGTGCTAAGAGTAATCTCCGGACTCCGATTCCTGCTGCTAATAATTGCGGCGAGGCTGCCGTACTAAGGAACATGAACGCGCTGTGCCCGCCATCACCGACCTCCCCGTGGCGTTTGGTAATCACAGACCGGTTTTACACGTCGGTGAAGCTGGCGTTGGAGCTGTTGCAGCGACGGATGTACATTACGGGTACGATCCAGATGCGTATGGCAGGGTACGCGAAGGATGTGAAGACTGACAAGTCTTACAGAACCGTGAATGGTGTGAGAGAGCTAGTACCACCACAGGGGACAATCAAGCTGGCTGAAAATAAGCTTTTTCCGCAGATAACCGCAGCAATGTGGATGGACCGCAATCCCGTCCACATGCTGAGCAGTGGTGGCAGCAGAGAAACAGTCAGTGTCAGTAAGTAAGCCTGTGTGTTTATATATATGTATCATTGCTCACTATTGTGCTTTTTTATTGTAGTGCGGCGTATCAAAGGCCAGATGAAAGAGCTACCGGCACCGGAGCTGGTTCGTGACTATCACCGATACATGGGAGGTGTTGATGTGCACGACCAGCTCCGGATGCAACGCTACAGCGTGCAGCTTTCGTACAAATCACGAAAGTACTACAAGACCTTGTTTCTCGGATTGCTGGACATGGCGTTGGTGAACGCCTTTATTGTGTATCGACACAACCAGCGTGCCAATGGGCACAAATCCCCGAAGCATTCCGCATTCTTCGAGACACTCATGGAACAACTACTTGCTGTTGATGAAAACTCTTTCGCTGAGATTGAGGTAAGTTGCTATGATGGGTTTGGCAACATAAATGCATTTACTAATATGGGTTATGTTGGTTATGTTTCCTATTCTAGAAATCCACCTCCGCTGAGGAGCGTACAGCCGCTTCACCTGCACGAGGAGCGTCGCCAAGACGGGAGGAGCAGCGACGTGGCTCAGACCGCATTGATGATGGCCACGAACTGGCGGAGAACCCAGACAAGGCCGACACTGAAACCGGAAAGAAGCGTCGCCACAGAACCTGCAAAGTGTGTGCTATCTACAAGGTGGTGCCGCGGAAGTATACGAAGTATTACTGTCCAGAATGCTCTGCAGGGCCAAAGAGGTACGTACATGCTGTTCATGCTTGATACTAACACGGTGATAGCGCTGACTGTAGGTTGTGCCGCAGGAAGTATCTCTGCAACGTTGTTAGGGAGGAAAGGGAGCGCACGTGCTTTCAGATATGGCACCTCGACTGGAAGAACGGGAATGACATCCCGAGCCGCTTGCTACGCGACCACAAGATACGCGACCGAGCGCCAGCGGAGCGTCCAGGCAAGAAGCGGAGACGCAGACAGCAGGTAGGCGAGAGCGGAGAAAGTGCTGGTTGCTGGGTGCTGGGGGAGTCGAGCGAAAGAAGATGATGAAGACGATGGAAGGAAGAAGGCGTAATGGTTGCCGCCGACTGGTCCGTACATGTTCTATGCCAGGGGGGCAATCATTTGATACGGCACCTTGATCCTTCCTTGTTATTGGGTTAAGAAAATGAAACTCACCGCCTGCGTGGCTGGTATGCCACCAGCACCAAGATAGGGGGAAATCAATAAACAGTACATATCTTATGTTTATTTATACAGCATAGTTGTATATGATCGTCTCAATGTACTACATAAACCTCCTTTATGTTGGAGAATCCGTACTATACACACTGGCAAGTCGTTGTTACCACCCCGATCCCGCGCCAAGATATCCGGACTTAATTGAAACCCCATACAAATTCCTTTATATCTGTATATGGGACGAGGTCAAAATATACCCTCATATTTGAGGCCGGGAACTAAGGGGTTAAATTATTTCTTTGAAATATAAGTCCACTGAAGCCAAATAAAAATGGAAGTGAGTATTTTGCCCGAATGGGGACTGTCTTCAAACCTACACCTAGCCGATCTTTTGCTCCTCTCCGATGTGCTGATTTTTTTTCACATCCGTCGAGCGTATAGCGTATACCTGGTAAATACCAAAGCCTCTCAGAACCACAAATCCCCCCAGTCAAAACGCGCGGCACCAGCGGGAGGAATATGGCGGCGCAGGCACGTAGCCGCAAAAGCGCCCACTGGGATCTGCGGACGAGAGTGACAGCAGCGAGGGGAATGAGTCAAGCGGATTCTTGAGTGAGTGGCAGCCGTCTCCAGGTCCCAATGGATCCGAGATGCTCGGCACATCTAGTAGCGCGAGTGATGGAGCTGGGCA